TGCGCCCCGGGAGCGGACGTGGCGGTGCGACCCGCAGCCGCCTGTCTACAGTGCGACGGTGTGCTCGCAGGGGAGGGAAGGAATTGCCCCCTTTGGGCCAGCTTGCGCCCGGCTGGGTCTGACTTCAACTCTCGCTCACCCCCAGCACTGGAACCTCATGGTGACCTGATCCAGAGCACGGCCTGGAAACAAGATGGCTCCCTCCTCGGCACTGCCTCGAAGGTGAGCGCAGCGGGCGGGCGAGGAACCCGGGGCGATTTCCTGGTGGGGGCTCCGGGCCCCGGCCCAACCGTGTGACGAGCATTTCCCCCTCTCCGCTGCTCAAGGAGCATCTGCTGGGCAGGACCGGTGGCAGCTGTGTTGAGAGATTCCTGAGCGGGGGCTTGGCTGCTCTTGGGGATCCTGTGTGAGCTCAGGACACTGTTTTCCTGCAGCTCTCGATCCCCTTGCCCTGGAGTGGGAATTTCAGGCTGGCGGGCCGTATCTGCTCCGTATCCGAAATTGTCCCTTCCTCAGAAGAGTTTCTTGGGGGGGGATTTCCTCTCTGCAGAGGCAGGCTCCCAGGGAGCTCCCTGAGCAACGTGTGACGGGCTGTGTGTTCGCGGAGCTGCGGCTTGTGGGTGGGTTCTGCGTCTGGCTAGTCCTGTGCAGGGAAGAGGCGGGCTGGTGGGGAGGGTGGCACCGTGCTGTGCATGACCCAGTCAGAGCGTGGGTGGGAGGCGTGTGCGAGACCAGAGCGTGACCCTGGCTTCGGGTTTGCGCTCCTGTGCTGCAGAGGGGAGGACTCGAAGTCTAACTAACAGCTGGAGGGGGCAGAGCCTTCGGGCAGCAGGTTTATCCATAGGAACTGCGATCGGCGAGGTGAAGGCCAGAATCGAAGCTCTCCTGGGCACAGAGCCCAGGGCCAGGCAGCGTTTCTCCCAGCTTCCTGCAAGCCCGTGCTAACCGTAAACGTGATTCCGCCGGCCTGCAAAATAGGCAGTAACATGCCTGCGTCGCTAGGGGGCGTACTGCCGACTGCAGGTCTCGTTCGCCTGGCTGAGTTGGCCTCACGTTTTTATCTGCCGGGGGTTTTCAAGACGCTGCCGTTTAGCCTCCGGCTTCGTGATTGTCGGCAGGGCCAGGAGTCCTCAC